ATAAACGATGCATCGATCGCAATGCACTTGTCAATGTGACGTCATCTCGCAAAAATGACGCAGTTTTTACACAGTCAGAGGCTGATCAAGTAACATTTTGTACAATGAAAAATGTCTTTTGTTCTCAAATAAAATATTATTTGAGGTAAAATAAAAAGCAATTAACTTGGATGCGATGTTTATTTTAGTATTTTATTCATAAACTGTACGTGCATTTTTCAGACAAGCGATACTGTCGTGTGTTTGTATGCAGATTCATTGAAATAGTAATGGAATGGCTCTAATAAATCGATTTATTGCAAGGGCATACCCTCAATGTATCTTGTCAAAATTTTACACATCAACTCAAGAAGCATTAAATTATTTGAAAAAAGCTGCGAACCTCTTGAAAACTTGCAAATAAATTAATTATAGCTATATTTATTGTAGTTGACCATCAAAATATTCAACCTGCCGTCCAACAAATTACATTTTACCAATTAAAAAAGGGAATTTATATAGGTTTGCAGCACTTTTCACAAATAGCATATAGTGTTGAAAAGGATTATAAAGTAAAGTAAGATTTTTAGCTTGGTTATGCCCTTGCAATATTGAAATTTATAGATGACCTCTAAACTGCAAGTATAATTGCCAAAGTCCTGTGACGTCGACATCACATGACAAGTCTAAATAAAAAAAAATCTAAATGTCCCCAGCATGTACATTTAAACCACATTACATTTTTTTGATATCAGTGAATTCCTAAAAAAAAAAATTCGCCCATCCGAATAAAGTATGTATTTTTTATCTTAAAAAAGCGCCGATATTTCCATTTGTAACCTTAAATGTGCTGCGAAGCGAATGCATAGTTATGTACGTACTTAACGTTATCTTTATGGTACAAATTTAGTCTCTGCATATACATGTATTAGCATTACTGATTAAATAATCTGATTTAATTATATAATCAAGTTTTTCAAAACACGCCTTATGTCACGTGATGTAGCTATGATGTTTTTAGAGGGCCGCGTATGTTCTGCTTTTAATTTGTATTGTTCAGATGGAATTTGGAACTGAAATAATCTTCTTTATCTATATTTCTTTATCTAGTTGACCTCTTTGTAATATTTGTAGATATATAGATGTTCAAATAACAAATATTTTAGTGTATTATGTATCAAATTTTTTCATCACATTCTACAATTTTTTTTCTTGTCATCATTAAGTATGTAAAGGTATCAATAAACACAATCTCAATCCCGTCTCACTCATTGGTAATCTGCTTATCTTAGATAAAAATAAGTATTTATACGTATTTATCGAAAATTATTATGTTAAGTAAATTGTATTTAAGATTGTTAAGATAATGGACTTTTAAGGCGTGTATTTTCAGTGTGTACAAAATGTTCATACTGTTTACTGGACTGCCACACCTACAATGCAAGTTCAAGTAATTAATGCTTAACATTTGAAACATCTGATTTGTTTAATCTTTGTTTTTTCTTTGTGGTTTTAAAATTCAAAATTAATTTAATATATTCCCAGAAACATCTCATACATTTTTTCGACATTGTTGAGAATAAATGAAAAAAAAAAAACAATGTTATGTTGGGAAATCAGATTTGAGAGCTTTGAATTTGCAATTATCTATTGCACAACAGGTATTCATTTAAGTTCATCATTTTTAATGGACTCTTTTTGATCAGTTTTAATTTGCAAATTACTATATATATTCCTTCAAACATATATTCATTCAAACATCGAGGAATAAATCTTAAATGTCTTAAACAACATTATAATTTTTTTAGATTAACATATTGTAAATATAAATGTTATAATATAAAATCATAAATGTTCCAACCATTCACATTTCATTTCTGAATTTAGCACATGTGAAAAAATTAAAATAAAAAAAATTGTAGTAAGTTAAATTGATGGATATATTCACTCTGAAAAAAGTTTTACTTGTTGCTTTTAAAATAAGATATTAGATTAAGAAAAACTAGTAATTATTAGTAATCCATTTAGTCAGAATAGCAAGTAAATGACTATCATTGTTAGTAATTGTAAACATAATTAGTAATAAGGATGAATTAATTTACTTATAAAATGATTTACTAAGTATCAATACTTAATAGGAATTATATTACTTAGTAAATGAACTACTCATTTTTAGTAAATCATTATTACTTAATTTAGAGATAACATGCTTTCTATTTACTAGGTTTTATGAATTATTCTATTTCAGTGTTTCATTTACTTTGTAATTTACTAAGTAAATGTAATTTTGAAATTAATCAAATTCCAGCATTTTAGTGCTTGGGAGAATATTAAGTAAATAAAATACTTATCGTATTTACTAAAATCGACATTATTTCTTTGTAATTGTTTTATTTTATTCAGCAATAAAACATTTAATTCCAACATCAAAAGCCTTCTAAATTGAATAATTTGTATATTTTTAAGGACCATTTTAAAACTGGTTTAAAGTTTCAAGTACTTAATAACACATTTTAGTTAGTATAACTTTTTTTTTTTACATGAAGGAATATTTAGAAGAAAGATAACTCCTCCTCACAGACAATGAATATGACAATTTAAGAATTCAATCCTGATAGTAATTAATTTACCATTTTTAAGTAATTATTTGTATTGAAACTGCTCTGAATTCTCCTTGATTCAGTAAATAAATTATTGTTTTAAGTAAATCAATTGAATACAATTTAAACGAAATGTGTTTGTGAAACACTAATCCCCCCCCCCATATGGCAACATAGCAAAGGTTTTTAACTTTTCTTATATGCAAATTCATTATATTGGTATTTCTTGATATCTCAAAGGTCAAGGTCAAATGGTCAATGTTATTGGTATCTAATGAAAGGTCCTGCCACAAAAAATACATATCTGAAATATGAAAGCACTAGCCCCAACCCTTCAGAAGTTAGGGTCAAGTTTACCAACTTTGAAATGTAGATCAAAGTCAAAGGTCAAGGACAAAGTGTCAGATTTGATGGTACCTAAAGAAAGGTCTTGTCACACGGATGAAATATGTAAAGTATGAATGCACTAACCCCAACCTTTGTAAAGTTAAAGTCAAGGTTTTCTTTTTAAAAGTGGGTCAAACTCCAAGGTCAATGTCAAAGGGTCAAAGTTCTTGGTATCTAATGAATGGTCTTCTCACAGGAATTACATATATGTAAGTATGAAAGCCCTATCCCTTATCGTTCAAAAGTAATGGCCAAGGTTAAAGTTTTTTCACAAGGATTGAAATCTCCAAGGTCAAGATCAAATGGTCATGGTTGTTGGTATCCAATGAAAGGTCTTTCAACAAAGAGTATATATGTGAAGTATTAATGTCCTGGTATTTACTGTTAAAAAGATATGACTAAAGAAAAGGTTGGATTTGTAGAAGTGGGTCAAACTCCAAGGTCAAGATCAAATTTGGCGATACTCAAAGCTAGGTCTTGTCAAAAGGAATGGACATGTGAAATATGCAAGTCATAGCTCCGCTAAATCAAAAGTTATGGGCAAGGTTAAAGTTTTTGCGGACAAACAGAGAAACAGACAGACAGAGATACAGACAGATGGACACGACAAAAACTATATACCCCCGAAACTTCGTTTACGGGGGCAAAATAATATTAGTTATATAAAGGAATCAAAATAAAATTCTGATATCTTTATTCTTTTTTATTATAGTATATATATAGTGATTAGACTACCAGATTTAAGTAATTTGTTCTGCAGCTGCTCTGAATCCTCCTTGATGCAGTAAATAATTTATTGTTTTAAGTAAAACAATTAAATATAGCAATTTGAAAATATTTTAGTAATAGCTAGTAATTAGTGGTAAACTGTAAGTAAAAACCAAGTAATATGTTATTACTTACATACACAAATTTAAGTAAATATAAATTACTAAGTAAAACTTTTTTTAGAGTGTTGTTTTCATAACACTTAATCAAACTTAAATTGATCATGTGGGTTTTAGCGCGTGATTCTTACAAAGGCAATATTTTGAAAGTCATCTGACTAATTCTATCGAAAGTTGATTAAACATTTTATCATCAATATTTAAATTAGTAATCATACATGTATATAAAACAGCGTTCATTATCATACCATCAAAGGATTGTTCGGAAAAGGTGAGTTACTATGTCATCCATACATCTGATCGTTAGGCCAATTGATGTATTTTTAGTAAAAGTGTTCATCAGAAATATAAAATAAGTATTTGAATGTAAAAAAAAGGATTGTATACATCAATGCAATCGACTTATAGGTACATCAATGAGAATTTAAGACATATATTGTGTATTTTTCAAATAAACATTTGAATTTCCGACTTTAGTGAAAAAGTGTATTTGACAAAACATAAACAGCTTTATAAATCAATATGTTTTTTTTTTATATAACAATCCTCCGGTTTAAAAAGGATTTTTGCTAATCTGAATTTTCTCTATTTTTTCTTAATTTTTTTAGGATAATGATCAGAAGTCTTTTTATATGATTTTGTTATATTTTAACATATGGTAGAGAGTCATATAGAGATACAAAATGATACAAAAACAAAAGGTTTTTGACTGTGTACAAGAGAGTAAATCACTTTCTATGGATTTTTTGCTCATATCTGTACTTTGATTGGAAACTTTTAAAAGCTAAATAATATAATTGTAGTTTGTTTAGAAATATTAATATTAATTTATACAGTCATTATCTAATTGAATATTACATCATAATTAGTAACATTTAACTTAAGAGAAAATAGTATTGCGCTATATAGTGCTTACGGAAAAAAGGTAATATCATATTTCTATGATGTTAACATTAAGTGTATATTGCGTCATACTTCATTAAGTTGTCAAGAGTTACCAGAGAGACTATTTAATATATTATCTTATCGTTTCTTCAATCTTTGTTTGCAGTTCGCCTCGTTCACATAGCTCTAAATAATTCTAGTTCTTATAATGACAAATGCAGTTTGAATAATTGATAAAAAAAAGTTTTATTGTTCCTTAGATTCACAAGAATAGAAAAGCTGACATATCGTTTGCCTTTTGACATCCAACCACACCACATAAAATATCAAAAGACTCTGCAATGGCGACAGGAGGAAGTAAGTTTTTTTTAAATGTTAAAATTCTTCTCTTCTTTCATCAATTCAAATATAGAAATTTTGAATTATATATGATATGTGATTTCACATGACATTATTCAATAATATATGACATGTGTTTCCTATGTCATTGTGTGACTTGTGTCGATCCCCTGGATGCTATTTCTAGTTCACCTGAGTCACTCAGGTGACCTATTGCTATCCGTTTTCGTCCGTCGTCGTCCCTCGTGCGTCGTGTGTTAACATTTGACATTTTTAGCTTCTTCTCTGAAACCACTGATTCAATTTCAACCAAATTTGGTATACAACATCTATGGTGAAGGGGAACAAAAATTGTGAATTTTATGCCCCCTACATGAGGCCTGAGGGGTAGGGCCAAAACCACTAAAATTAATGAAATCTTTAAAAAAAAAATTCTTTACCCATGTACATCAATTAGTCAAACTTTTGGCATGATTGTAATAAGCAATCAGTCCTCTACTTCAATTGTGAAATTCATGGCCCCAGGATCCGGGGTTCTAGTGCTAGGACGGGGCTATATATATTATATTGTTAAAATGCTTTATTTCTTTGAATATCTTCTACTCTGCTTCTGTGTATTAAATAAACTAACTAAGAACAAAGTAATGATGAGCAAGGATGCCTCTTCTAAAATTGTGAATTTTATGGCCCAAGGGTCAGGGGTTCTGGTGTTAGGGCGGGGTTCTATTGATTATATAGTGAAAATACATTAAGCCTTTGAAAATCTTCTTCTCTGCTCCTGGGTATCAAATAAAGTAAATAAGTACATAGTTATGATGAGCAAGAGTGCCTTGTTGCGACCACTATTGAAATAACGAGCACTATTCAAATAATTATATCATTATTTCAATAGTGGTTGAGAGTGCATTTCAATAGCAAACATAAGTAATAACCACCATTTAAATACGACCTCTATTGAAATAATTATTTCAATAGTGGATGAGAGTGCATTTTAATAACAAATATAGGTAATAACCACTATTGAAATACGACTACTATTGAAATAATTCTTCAATAGTGGGTGAGTTTCAATTCAATAACAAACATAGGTTGCAACCACCGTTGAAATAATGTTCACTTTTAAAATAAAGAGTTCAATATGGATTAAATCATTGATTTCAGTTGTGCATTTAACAATGAATCCAATATATATTGAAATAATTATTTCAAAAGCTGCTGACGTGGTAAAACTTTTCTTTCAATACTGGTCGTATTTCAATAGTGGTTGAAACCTATGGTTATTATATTGAAATGCACTCTCACCCACTATTTAATAATTATTTCAGTAGTACTCGTATTTCAATAATGGTTGAAACTTATGGTTATTATATTGAAATGCACTCTCATCCACAATTGAAATAATTATTTCAATAGTGGTCGTATTTCAATAGTGGTTATAACCTATGTTTGTTATTGAAATGCACTCTCAACCACTATTGTTATAATTATTTCAATAGAGGTCGTATTTCAATTGTGGTTACTAACTATGTTTGATTGAAATGCACTATCAACCACTATTGATATAATTATTTCAATAATGGTCGTTATTTCAATAGTGGTTGCAACAGTGCCTCTTCCAAATTGTGAAATTCATGGCCCAAAGGTCAAGGGGTCTAGTGCTAGGGCGGGACTATAACGATTATATGGTTAAAATGCATTATTTCTTTGAAAATCTTCTTCTCTTCTTCTGAGTATTAAACAATTTGATTAATACATAGTTAATTTGAGCAGAAATGCCTCCTCCAAAATTGAGAATTTTAAGGCCCCAGAGTCAGGGGTTCTGGTGTTAGGGTGGGTCTCTATTGATAATATAGAAAATACATAAAATCTTTAAAACTGTTCCTCTCTGTTTCTGTCTATTAAAGGTACTTGGACACAGATTTGAAGTTATTATTTTCTCTATAATATTACGACTTATATATTTTAATAGCATTTCACACAAAAATTAATTAAAAATTTTATTTCGTTTAAAAGATATTGAAATTTCAAATTTTCCGGCGGGTTTGAATGACAAATCCTTGCACTCTCACAAATTTAATTTTATTCTTAATCCTTAGGAAAAGTGGCAATCTCGTTTTGTATAAATGAAAAATATTAATACTATAATCCAGAAAATTCAGAGTAGACACGTTCGAAAGCAAAACAAACACACAATATATTGTCAGTCCGTGCAGTTGTGGTAAGCAGGCTGTAACGATTGAACGCACCCGGTGAATTCTAAATATAAACAATAACAGAACTCGAGCCCTGTTTACAAAAACTGTGTACATAACACGAGTGTGCTCGATTTGCTAAACTCTATACGCATCTCTTAGTTCGGAATGACGATACTTGTGAAGGTGTTTTGCTTTCTAACATTTCTACTCTGAATAAAATTATTTTTCTTGATAAAAGTTTTAATATTTCTCATTAAAACACATCAAAATTGCCACTTTTCCTAAGGATTAAGAATAAAGTTAAAATTTGTGAAAGTGCAAGGATGTGTCAATCAAACCCGCCAAAAAATTTAAAGTTTTAATAACTTTTAAATGAAATAAGATTTTTAATTAATTTTTGTGTGAAATGCTATTAAAATATATAATTCTTGATATTATACAGAAAAAATGAGAAAATATTAACTTCAAATCTGTGTCCAAGTACCTTTAAGTAAGTATATAGTTATGATAAACAAGGTGCATTTTCCCAAATTGTGAATTTTATGGCCACAGGGTCAGGGGTTCTGGTTTTAGGGCGGGACTCTATTGATTATGTAATGAAAGTGCATTAATTCTTTGAAAATCTTCTTCTTTGATCCTGTGTATTAAATAAACTAACTTAGTAAATATTTATAATGAGCGAGAGTGGCTCAACCAAATTTGTGAATTTCATGATGGTCCCTTTGTCAGGGGTTTTGCCATTTGGTGTTGGTCGGGGTGGGGGTGGGGGTGGTAGCTTTTTTGATATTATAGTTAACATACATTAATTCTTTGAAAAATCTTTACCTTTGCTCCTGGGTATTATGGCAATGATCCAAGTATATATATTTATGAAGTAGAAAGGTGCATCCAGCAAAATGGTTAATTTCATACCCCCTTGGTCAGGGGTATCGAGAATGGAGGGGGGATTACATAGACTGAAAATGAATGAATGCTTTGAAATCTGCTCCTTGGTATTAATCTTCCCTTTATGATGAAATAAAATTTATGATAAAATTTCAAGAATTTTGAAATATGTGGCCCCAGGGTCAGTGGCTCCTTTTAGGTGGGGTGCTCAACTTGTTATAAAGTGGAAGTGCATTTTACCCTTGTTACTCTGATCTACCTCTGGGAATAAAGTAATTAAAGCAAGCAAGCTAAGTGTATAGTTATGATAGTGATGTTGCCTCTTTTCAAATTGTGAATTTCATGGCCTTTAGTTTAAAACATGAACCAAATTAACTCAGTTGTTGGAACGTTGTTACATGATTCTCAGGTGACATTTAAGGCCCTTGAGCCTCTTGTTAAAATGTTATTATTTTCAACAAATATTTGTAAATTTTATTCATTTTGTGACCATTTAAGTAAATACTTTTTTATGAATGAAATATCTTGAATTAAGGACAGATGATACAAACAAAAAAATGGATGCCTGGATTGGTATATATTTTTTGGAATAATTTCACTGGAAATGATGAAAATAAAAAATTTCTAGAAAATAAAGAAATTGTAAACCTTCTGTGATGTTCAAAAGTATTCCCTTCTGAAACCATCCTCATTAATCTATACAACTATTTTTTACTTCAAATTCCATTTTTGTGAAAATTTGAACAAAGAATTAAAAATTACCCGGTGAAAGTTATTCATTTAACACATTTAAGCATGAGGCATCTTGTTATTTTCAAAATCTTTGGCAAAAATTTGTTTGTATCATCTGTCCTTAAGTGCTTTACCAGGAAGATATATTTGAATACCATGACACATACACATGTACATACATGCTTTGTTCAAACAAGCTCATTTTACAAGCAATGTTAAAAAACTTTAAAAAAAATTGATCTAATGTTTGTCACTATATAAAGGTACACAAAAAATTTCGAATCAATTATATTTAATGTAACACGATCCAGATCGTGAATCCAAATACTGCAATAATTCCGTCAAAAATCAGTTACAATAAATTGGAACGAAAAGCAATTTTGATCTATAAAGATCAAGATACGTGTACACTTACATACCAAAAATCAACCAATTATCTGCAAGCTTTTAGACAAAAGTGCTAAAATCTAAGTGGGACAGACTGACATACAGACAACGTAACAGACAGTCGCACGGAGGAACAGACAGATTCTGAGTAGATGGACGGCTTAAAGAAGAAACCTATAGACCCTCTGGTTTCCCCAGTAGGAGACTAAAATTGATTTAAATGTAATTCGTTGGATGAAATATTTTCACAAAGACTCCATAGTTAACATATGTACAAGAAAATGATGTCGCCAGACTAATTTAATTTTGCAATCTATCTGGTGAATAATAAACTCTTCTTTATGATTGAATAATTTCCATCTCTCTGATTGGCTGAGATCCAACTATGTTAGAAAAATATTACGTTGTATTGACCTGCATGTGACGTTTCAGGTCAATACAAGGATTGATTTCCTCTACATTGATCTAAAAATAGATTGGGAAATTCCAAATTGATACAAATTGTTTTAGAAAGCTATTTAAACGACTATGATTTTTATTTTCATGTGAACAAAACATAAGCGATTATATATTTTAGGTGAGGATGGTAAGAGGGGATGCAGGGACCCCCCCCCCCCCCCACCAACACTTTTACTGAACTACAATTTTTTTTAATTACTGAAAATACTCCTTCCTTTCAAAATCTATCCTATAAAAAAGACTAACATTATATATTTCTTTCATGGCAACTAAAATTGATTTTTTAAAAAGAAAACATTTCAACTTGATAAGACTGGTAAAGTTTATTCACATTTTGATTCTGCTTCTATCTTGTATTTGGCTAGGACTTAATAAAATGCCAGCAAGTAATGGGCTGTATCATTTTATCAGTGAATCATATAATAAAACAATAATTGCTGTTTTTTTTTCGGTCAATACAATGATTTAGCCATCTTCGAAGTACAATATTGTACTTCGAAGATGTTTTTTTTCGGTCAATACAATGATTTAGCCATCTTCGAAGTACAATATTGTACTTCGAAGATGGCTAAATCATTGTAATGACCGAAAAAAAAAACAGCAATAATTGCATGATATTCACCACCGCAAGAATCAGAGCGATCATGTGAAAAATTTATAAGGCTGACGTGTGCCTATTTTCTAAAGTAGCTAAGTGAAGTTTTTTTTCATACTTCAAAATTCACTGTAAACATACGGCATTTGCAATTGGTTCTTTAGTTTTTAGCACCTTCATCAACTTTTGCTATTTTTTTCTTAAGTGCAATGATAAATGTCTTGCACAAACACATAACGGTCAAAAGAATAACAATTAATTAAAAGATGTGCTGAATCTAATTTCCGATGATTTCATCAAAGTGTAATTTCCATCAAATGCTGTGCACGCTATATCTAACACATTTATGGTATTCTGACGTCACAATATTACAAGTTAAGGATCTAAAGATTTAAGTTTTACTACTGACTGCTTCTTCAAGAGGTCAATTTGAGCCTTAAAGAAAGTATTTTCTATAAAAGTTTCAAGTAAAGTTACTTATCTGTAAAACAATTTTAATGTGTACTTATGATTAAAATGTAGTTTAAAATTGAATAATATACCAACTTTCTTAAACGTGTGGAGCAGTGAAAAAAAATTTATCACTAAGTGATCGGCTCACCATATTAAGTATTATATACTTAAGATAATTTAGCGTCCTCAGGGTCATATGCTCCCCCACTACAGGATCCAGGACAAAGGGTAATGACTCCAAAAAGACTTTGGCAAGTCCAACAACTGGCAACTCAGCCACCTTTCCCAGCTCCGTCGGTGATACAGAATCTCAATACTTATCTAGAGAATATTAAGTAATTATAGCATATTAGTACGAACAGGTTGGGCATGTTTAACATAGAGGTGCCTTACTAAAGCGTCTTTTCGCAAGGGCATACACCATAGATTTTATCCATTTTTTGCAAATAAATAAAGGACATTTTCCTTAATTTGTAAAGCGATGCTGTTTTCTTTAAATCGAGCGTACTTTATTTTACATGAAATATTTGGTATAGGTCAAATATATTTCGACATTTGCATAATATTTACATTTGCAAATGTTTTCCTTTATATAACACGACTGAAAGGAACACGTATCTATAACTATATAAATACAGGTACGGGGTCAAGAGGTCATAGATGTGTGTATTGATAATCGTTTGATGTAATTTCTTAGTGACGTCATAAAGGGTCGACGCGCGTTCAGTGTATTACATACTTGCCGTTGAGTTTGAAAAATAATGCATTTCACACGCTAAAAGTCACAATCAGGCAAATATAAAGTATGAATAAGTCACAAATGTAAATATAAGTAATAAGTTATCATTTCAAAACATCTATAGGGCTATAAATACGGGTTGGTACGAGATTAAATTGATCATTCGGGCTTTATGGAATTTAATCTCGTGACCAACCCGTATTTATATCCCGATAGATGTTTAAAAATGATACCTTATTTCTTTATTGGATTGAAATTTTTACTGATAAAACACGAATTGTTAAAGCAGCACTTTCCAGAAAATATAAAGTATACAGAAACAATTGATAGCTTAAATTTGTAATTTCAACCAGGATATGCGATATTGAAAGTTAATGACCTACATTCCGTACACAAACTTGACATTTATCACGTACCTGTCCATCGATGGGACCGAACTTTATTTGTACAGAGTGGGTTACACTTTGTTATTTCAAGAGGTATTTAATTAAGTAATTTGATAATAAAACAGTTTAAAAAAAATAAAGTTAGTTTAAAAAGTTCCCGTTCTTCGCACGTCTATTTTCCGTTATTTTCTCATAGTAAGCCTTAACAGTGCTGCGTTTGCCGACTGGACAAAAAAATCGCAGTTTAGCTGCACTCACTTACATGTATATGGCTTTAAAAATGCCACGTGATCTGCTTCAGACATTACAAGATCCCCAAAGGCCGACATGCATATTCAGTATACACAAATTTTATATCTATAAAAAGCGAAAGTATGAAATGAAATCCTCTGAATGACGTCTTTTTTATGTTTTATAATTTGTTTTTGCAGAAGTAGATGTGTTTGAACACATATTCAGAACAGAACTCGACCACAGAGGGAGTTGGAAAAATGCTACAAGAACGATTTTAATCTACACTGTAAACAAAAGCAGTTGGACAAAAATACAAAACGTGTATTTGAAACATGCAGAGGAAACATTGATTAAGCAGCTGGAAAAAGAATATTTAATGAAGATAGAGAAAATACGAATAAATGTGGACGTTTACATCAATAATAGCCCGTGTGCAGAATGTGCCGATAGACTTCACGCTTTTCTTGAAAATTATCCGGAGGTTCAGATGTATATTTACTTCGCTAACCTTTACAACATTCGGCGAAATTCCTGCATCAAAAACATGACAACAAAAGACGAAGAACATGTATGGCGTGTATCAAACTTTAAAAGCATAAAAAATTCTATGGGTTTAGTGATGCTGTTGGATCATAATCGCTGCACATTGCAACCTTTTAACAAACAGACATGGGTCAATTTGCTTGATTTATTAAAAGATAATCGCATAGACTTTAATCAGATGTACCAGGAAATATGCGGAGATAGAAGTCGAGAAGAAGAAGACGCCTATCTAAGAGAAGACCTGGAAATCATTAAAAAAGAAGGGATTGCTATGAAAATCGGCATGTATATGATGGTTTATGCATTATTATTCCAAACGTTTTTATGAGTAGGACTGAAGACCGGCTTTTTTTTTTTCAAATTTTCAACCTCGAATTTCTGAATTACATAATAAAAATTTGAATATATATATTTTTGGAAAACAACTTTATAAATACTATGACAATCTGAATTGTCATGCAAAATAAAATGATTTTTATTTTTTAACAAAAAGGATGTGCAAAAAAGTGCACTGTGGTGTATTCTTATAATGAACATTTTTGTCAAAGACATTATATATATTAAAACGGAAACTTTATTTGATATGTATGTCATTTCGAAGTTTCAGGTATTGTCTACGGTGGCTTTCACAATAATGTGCACCCAGCAACATTGCAAACATTTCAACACGAACTTTCTAGAATTATAAAACATAATTATGCTATAATATAATTATTCTGTATATTTTCTTCTTTGTCAACATAACATATTTCAACATTCAACATCAGATATCAACATATTAATCACACATATCATCATTATTACTACATGTACCAACAAGTTAAATCTTTGACTTTCAAGTTTAGCTTGCATTAAAGAAAATTCAACCCCCGCCATGGGCTGCCATACAGGGACATCAGTGGTTCACAAGCACGTTTTTTATCATCTAAAAATCTGCAACACTCAAAACAAAAAAAGGTATTGACGTTATAGAGTTACGACTGAGACCATCTTTCTTTGCTATCTTTGAAAAAGAAATTTTATTTCGACCATGCATAAGTAAAGACACAGTTACCTCTCACTGTGTCTGTTGGGAGGAGGGGGTGGGGTGGGTCGAGTGTTGATGATGGAGTGAAATGCGAGAATGACTGGTGGAATTGTTCTGTGTTCTGTACAATTCTTCATGCAGTTTACTGTTCTTGAGTATTCACTTGCAAATCTAGCTAGTTGTAATCATATTATGTCGTTATTGCTCATTTGGTCAATAATAATCGAAACACTTAATTGCTCGAACCTTTCTAAAGTGGGTATTACTGTTATTTCTGGTTAAGCAATACATATGATATTAATGAGATTTTTGTTTATCTTTATCAATAGATATTTTGTTTTAAAAGTCGTAAAATCTGAACTAGGAAATATGATATACATGTGTATTTCTCAATGAAATTTCGCTGGGGCCGAGGTGTCATAGATTGACCAACCAGTCTTAAATCTTGGGCCGACCTGTTTATTTTCTTTATTATAAAAAAACTTCTAGGAGAAAATTCCTATCTCTCAGTGTGTGTGTGATAAAAACTATGACAGCATATTACACTGTGCTTATTTACATGTAGTTGTGAAAATTAAATCTATTACAGATGCCTTTTTGCATAAGTATAATCACGGCCGGAAAGTATATACAGATAAGTGATAGAAGTTTGTTAAAAAATCATCATAAAAATGTCAAAAAATATATAATTTAATTGCATAAAAATTTTGGAATATTAGTGAATTTATGCAATACGTCATCAGTTCTTATATTTAAAAAATCTCCCATTATTTTACATGGGTCGCTTCGACATGGAAGTATATGTATAATCTTCAAAAAAAAAAAAAAAAAAACCAAATAAAAAGAGGGAGAGAGAAAAAAAAGACGCATACTAGGCACAATACCCTTACAAAAATTTAAGAAAGTTTTGTCCTACAATTTTTTTAGAGGTATATGATGGTATATGATGTAATTGTTAACTTTAATGCTCATACACAAATCTCATAAACAAAAAAACCCTGATTTTGCAGAATGCTTAAAAAATTGGTAATTTCAGTTTTCTTTTATTGGTTTTCGATGAAATGCCTTCACACACAAAGGTGCTATCAATGAAGGGGTTTTCGACGTTTTGAATCTGGTTTTATCTGAAAATTGATGCTTTCTAAAAATGCTGCTTTTTGGATAGCACAAGAAGGAATATGGGCGACTGGAAGTAGGTGTACCACAGTCTACAATCGCAAGAAGTTTTAATGTTAATGTTATGCACAGCACCATATCTAATCTATAAGACAAAAACCATTAACAAGGATAACGAAACATATTGATATACATTAGATATACATGTACAAAAATACAAAATTATTTCATTAAAAAAAAAATCTTTGTCCACGAACGTTTTGGACAACCCTCGTACCATAGTCATCCAAATCGCCAGATTTAAAATCAGTTGAGCAGCAATAAACAAAACGATTTGTCATGATTTGTTAAAGACAATAGTACCCCGAAACTCTGCAACAGCTGACCAAAGCTCTATATTTGGAGTGGGAGAGTATTCCTATACAGTTTAGATTTTATTACACAAATTTGCTTTCATTTCTGCCTGTGGAGGACATACATACATACTTGTGAATAAACATGTACCAGATATTGATCTTTCATGACCTTTTCATGGTGTTTCAGTATGACATTTAGGTAGTATCTTTATCGATAACCACATTTTTGTATTATAAATAAATCATTTTACTGAATAATTTTTATTTTCCATGCGTTTGTAACATCATATAATAGAAAAAAAAGTCCAATGTACAAAGTCCTATTTCACTGGGGGGGGGGGTGATAGGAGCCAACGTTTTTTCATGCCAGCTTAATTCTTTCAGTACCATTTTTGACCTACAATACTACTGTAACATTTCCTTATATCAACCATGACAATTCCCTATAGTATAAGTAATATTGGGGGAAATGGGACAGGCCCACCTGCCCCCTGTTGCTACATGACTGTTAGTGGTTTTCTCTTTTGAAGTCCCAAATATTTAAACTTTTCATCGTTTAGTGATCTATTTACTACCAAAGGTTTATTGATCTATTCACTACCAAAGTTTTAAAATATAACAAATAAATATATTTTAACATCAACAATAAGAATAACTTGCATTGGAAATCTTAAATTTAAGAATATCTTGTGAACCAACAATTTTCTAGTCATCTTTTATTCGCTATTTGCCATTATTTAATCGATTTGCAACTGTTAATTTTAGCGACTGAGAAAAAAATTTCTACAAATGAAAACAAAATAAATCGTTCGCGGTCGAGGATTTTTATTAAGGATTTCCATCCCTAATGGGTCCAAATTCCTTACCCTTAAATATCCGTCAAGTAAATAATACTGTGATATTACATTAAACCATTTTATAGTAGAGAAGGATTGACCGTGAGAAAGTTTCAAAAATGTCATTAATTAAGCAGTAGTTAATTAACAAAGATTGCATTGAAGTCTATGGGGAAAAGCGTTTTTTTTCAAAATAAAAATTCATATAATTTGAATACCAATAAATCCTGAGGTGGAAAGATGCATTGAAACATGAAAAATAGAATGACAATTCAAAACAATTTTTTTACCGGCTAAATTTTTTAAATTGATTTTAAATAATTAAAAAACGGGAGAAAATAAATAACTCTTACCAAAATTCAAGGTAATAAATTAGGACACATCCCACTATACATACTAATAGTAATATATGGAAAGTATGTCTAAATAAACTAAGTTTTCAATGCCTACATATCTGTTATGTATTAAATTTCATTGAATTTGTTCCTATTAGGGATTGAATACCTTAAATGTATGTTGCAAAACTTGCAGTTGTCTTATACCCAAAATGATGATTTACAGTATTAAAGAACAAATACAGAATTTTTGTCTTTTGCTACATGCAAACGAACAATATGTTTTGTGTTTGCATCATCATGTAAAATAGAAGTTAAGAAACTACTCGTGTATGAAGCCTACAGTGTATAAAGTAAACAATATTTCCTAAAATATGCATACAAAATAGAGGAAGTAAGAGTACTATCTATCAAATTATTATTTTTGATTCCGGCTATCAAATGATCGACCTTATGAGATATTTTTATGCAAATGAAAAACATATAGTCAGGCGATGCATGATTAGCAACAGTTAATTTTTGTTCTCATGCATTAAATATATATGGAAATAACGAACACCATTCAAACTAAAAATTCCATAAAACAATACAAAATAGGAACAGAGCAAACACGAAACTAGATCCAAGTTAAAATATCAGAGATGGGATCAACTAAGTGTCATGGAGGAGTGACACTGCCCTGACGACCGGTCACACATCTATGTGCTCCTTGTCATGATCGAGAAATTACTGAAAAATCCTTTGTCAATTCAGTGTATAAATATAAATAACGGACTAACAATTAGTATGAAAAACGATAGTTACCATTTGATTCTGTCATAAATTGTACTTGCTGACAAGTCATTGTATCGATCATAGAACTTATGAAATAATGACTTTAAACGAGTCTGCTTATATTTTTTGTTTCATTTATTTGTTTGTTAATAATTTACCTCATTTTTTAAAATTGCACATACGTATCTAGAGCATGCTGTTGAATATCGAATAAACTGAGAGAATTTGTGCAAAATTTTATGCTTGAAAAGAAGAAAACATTTTCTGTGGCCTTGAACTCGACATTTAGATATATCGACGACGTATCTTCAAATTTCAATGATAATTTCCATTCTTATGTCGATACAATATATCCCACTAAGCTTGAGATAAGAGATAACACAGAGCTCAAGTCTTTCACATCTGTCTCATATATGGATATTTTATTTGAAGACATTTATAGTTATCTAACAAGCAAGGTCTATGATAAACGTGATGACTTTAACTTTTTTGTCAACTTCCCTTACTTATGCAGCAATATACCTTCACCTTCATACGTACACGGAATTTAAATTTCAGTGGATTGATATGCAAGAGCATGTTCTACGTACAAACAATTTCTAAAAGAAGGTAAATTATTGACAAACACGTTGATAAAACATGAATATCGGCAGTCACCATTTCGTAAGTTCTATGGTCGATACAATGACCTTTTCAGCAAATACAATTTGTCATTGAGTCAAATTCTGACTAATGTTTTCAATTCAAATTGTTGGTCCATTATTTATACACAGAGCTCCTTATGCAGGTAATGAAGGTATACTGCTGCATAAGTATGGGAAGTAGACGATAGAAAAGTAAAAGTCAACACGTTTATTATAAAGCTAGGCTGTTAGATTCCTACTGACGCATTTTTCAAATAAAA